ATTTACCTGCGTTTCATTGTCGTCTTCCATATTTGACACAGAGGTTCTTGGACTTTCCTGGTCCCGCGAAAAGTACCACAGATGTGGAACGTATACATCGTCGGTGCCTACACCGGACCTCTCAGAATCTAGAACTTTTTTTAATTCTTCCCTGTACGTCGTTCTTAAAGAATTTATTTTCTTTACTACAATTTCTCGATTTGTACTCTCTTCAACTGTGCGCATTTTTTCCACGAGAATATCATACGCCTTAGACTTAGCATTTCTGTCACTGTATTGTTTTGATTTCACCTTCCACAGACAAGGACAAGGAAAAGATTTATAGAGCTCATAAACTCTACCATGAACTCTTTTTCTTTCTTTGACATTATTTATCACAACAAAATACCGTACAACAGCCGAAAATTAAAGCCACGTGCACGTTCTGTTTACTATTATTTACCCACTACGCATGCGTCGAATTGGTGCGTTGTTTACACGTTCATGCATTTGTGCCAACCACATGCAAATTATCTGACCATCCAGATTTTACTCAAGCTAAACTTTTTGGCTTGCGCAAGTAAACAATTTTCGTTTTCATGTACCAATTCACTTGCACAAATTGGCATGCACAAGTCAATTTGCGCAAATTGCATGAGCGTGAAAACGCACCATTAGAAGCTACCCCGGGCACTGAACGGTCACGCGTCAGAGGCGTATCATGGGATATCTAAGACTTCCGAAGGCTAGCATATTACTAATATTTGTCATGATTGTGGGAAAATATGAAAAAGAGGAGACAAACAGCTAGGTTTTTAGAATTTTCCCCTAGCTGATAGGAGTTAAGTGCGCCAGGCTGGATACGATTCTACTGTCGACGCACGCGTTGACAGATGCGGTTTGGAAATTATCATTAGAGAGGAGCAGGTGAAACTAACGAAAGACTGCGTAGTTCCAACAAAGCTAATTTTGATAAAATTACATTAAAATTTCAGAAGAGAGTCACCGTTTGTTTTACCTAAATGCTATGTATAATTTTATAATTATTTAAGAGGACATCTCGAATTGTGGCCCAGGAATTCCCAATTCATTGAACTTATTCAAAACTGCAGGGTCTGCCGCAAAGCAAATAGAGCCACGAGACGCCACTGTTGCGAAAACTTAAGGGAAGACTGTATGCTGACGACACTCCTTGAGGTGGGACAAGGGAACGTAATTAACGTATCGTTAGAGGGCGGCCTCGCACATGGTGTGTCTACCAAATTGTTGGCCTTTGGCTGCCGTACTTGCACCAATCGGTTTTTAAACCAAATCGGGTAAGGATAAAGTGGTGGAATTGTAGCCGGACCTGGGCCAATAGTAACTGGATATAGAGCCCGGATTGGAGCGATCATTCGACTCGGGAACACAGCAGGATATCCAAAACGATGTGGTTCAGGAATTTGAATCTGGTTCATCTTACTGAAAAAGGAAGGTAGGTATGTGATTCTTTAATTCTAATTTCAAAGGACTCCTCGAAAATTTTTCAGCATTTGGATTTTATTAACTTTAATTTATCTTAGGATTGTAGAGCAATAAATTAAATTATTGAACAGTTACCATAGTAAGCAAATAATAATGACACACAGCCACTACTTTGTTTCAAACGACTACACAGTTCCTATTGATTGCACCTCGCGCTGGATATGTTATGCCAATCCTGAACAAAACAAATTTTGAAAACATCCGCTATCCGCTCTACTGTTTCAATAGCTGTGTTATACCATTCATAGTAAGGGTATGAGATAATACCACAATATTCAACTTCTGAATAAACATATGCATTATATAACAGCTTATTATATTATATTATTACTATACAGGGTTTTCAAAGTTGTTTAAATTATTTTAGCTACTTGTAGGACAAAAATCACCCATATAAAAGTAGCATAATAACAGTGTTATCCTTATCATTATTAACGGGTACAAGCGTTACAACCTGAAAATCATCCTAGAAAAGTTGCATTTTGCCCGTGGCTTTTCGAACAATTCGTCAAGAATTAAAATTTTAGGAAATTAATTTTGTGTGCAGGACCTCTATTCTTGAGTTTGAGGGAGTAGAAATTGTGAGAGAAAGTGTCAAAAAGTAGGTGTGGCCAAGAAATGCAGTATTCTTGAAATAAATTCTACCGGAAAGTGATAGAAATGAATTCACTTTAGGGAGTCGCGATTTCTCTTGGTACCGACCAAGAGAAACCTGAAAAATTAGTAGAAAATAGCGCCATATAACCTAAAAATTGAAGTGTATTTGGCATTGTTATTATCGTTCCTGCTAAACATATTGGTTAATTTCAATCAATTGATGTATTGGAACGATATTATTAACGAGGATGTTGAGAACTGAGAGATTGGGAGAGATATTCTTGGGCGCCGAGATCCTTTCATAATTTCGGATCGAAAATGTGTACATATGTTTAGCTTGACCAAAGATTTGGTGTATGAATTGCTGGAGATATTGACTCCATTCATATAACCACTCCCATGAGCTTCTGCACTTTCGATCACAACAAAGACAAGAGTAGATGAGTAGATATTAAGTTTTAGTCATCCTAAAACAGTATCTTTTAACCTATGATTGAATTTTCCCAGGTGCTCCCGGAGAAATTCAATCATTTTGTCCTTTTGTTCATTTGAAATGTGTTTTTTAAAGTTTTCGGCTCCGTAGATAAAATTATAAGGAGGAAATCATGACCAAAATCTTTGGTTAGTTTTTTTACTGTCAAAAATATCTCCATTTTGATTGGTTTAACACGTTTACCCAAATCTGAAAACCCTGTGTCTTGATTTCCTTTCTCCTTTCTATCGAGTCCTTTCAAGAATACAGTATTTTCAAATCGATAGAATACCGCGGGAGTAGAAAAAGAGGGAGAGTGTGATTTTCTATTAAAATCAAGAATAGAGGCACTGATGAGGCCACATAAGAATCATGTTTGGGCAGCATAAAATCCGCATGCTGTAAAAAGAATTTTCAACATAGCCTTTTCATTTTTTTTGCTGAAGCTCTCCGGACTATAAAATATATTTTCATGCCCCCTTTACTATTTCAATAAATACAAAAAAACGTACATTATATCGATACAAAGATTTTTATTTTAATTCTAATAAAGGAATAAAATAAGAGTAGGTACTAATCAGATATTTGAGATTGCATGTTCTGTACCAGTTGGTTGATTCTAGGTTCTGTTTTTGCCAGAGCTATCATCAGGTTGCTATCGACATCAAGACGATTTCGCCGTTTAGTTTTAATATTCGTAAAGCAAGAGAGGCAAGTGTCGAATTAACAGGCAATCTTTTGATCCAAAATTTCTCTAATGCTAAAAGATGGAAGTCATCCTTCATGGACGAATCAGCCTTAATTTTTAGAAATTCTTCCTGAACTTCTTCTGGTAGTTGTGACACATTGACAACAAATGGATTTCTTGTCATGTGTCATATTGGTGACTCTGAATTGATGTCTCGATAGTATCGGCGAAATTCGTCTTCCAGCGCTTGCAAATGTGTCAGCTTTTAAATTTACGCCCAGTATGTTATTTTTAATTGCTTCGAACAGCCGAGAGAAAAATATAACATTTTCAGAAGACACTTTTCGATTCCAAAGATGAAGCTTTGATATGAACCCCTGAATATTCATATACATTTGGAATCAATATGATGTACTTAAAGTTCGTCGTTTCAAAAGTATTTCGCCACGTTGGTTTGATTGTGATGTGGTAAAAAAGTCCCAATAGCCGATCTATGAACGCGTCTCTACTTAATCGACAATTTGGTAAATTAAATAAAAATGGTAACTGAGGTTTGTAAAAACACAAACTTACCTTTTAACTGTGAGACAGAACAATTTGACACACTCAAACAGATTTCTCAACAAAACATGTACAACGAAACGTCAAATTATTCACAAGTTTGTGGGAATGAATGTCACATATGCTCATCCGCGTTTGGAAAGTACACAATAGTTTTCTAAGTGATCAATGTTAAGTGGAGCGCGGTGGGGATGCGCGCGGGTTTCATATTGTCTTTTCCAAACTTGCATGAACTGCGATTGACGACGCCGGGTTTTGAAACAGCGGCTGACAGAATAAGTGAATATGATATTAAATTTTTATTTTTATGTGAGTAAATTAGTCATTACATTGTAATGTTATTTGTTAATGTCGTTTGTTTTTTTTTCTAAAATGCAAACGCCTTGGCAGGCGCGTCCCCCTGGTTGGTAACTCCTGATCTAAATAATGAGTTTCCGGAAGGGTGGATAGGACGCAATGGAGCCATTTCTTGGTCTGCTCGCTGTCCGGATTTATCGCCTTGCGTTTTTTCTGTGGGTTGATTTTAAAGAGTTGGTGTACCGTGATGAGCTCTAAATACTCTGGAAGGACTTCAACAGCGCACTGAAAATGCTTGTGATTTAATTCGCAGACACCAATATTTTATTTTCGAAGCTTGGGAAAATGGGGACAATTTTCAACACTTTTTGTAAAAATGGTATCAATTTAACTTGATAATGATTTTTCTTAAACATTTTTTGATAATGTGAACTAACTCTCTAATTATGCAACTTTTATATAGGTGATTTCTGATGTATCAACTACTTTTGACGAGTTCTACAAGCTGTTAAAATGACTCGACTTTGAAAACACCCTATGCTTATGAAATTCTTTATACTTTATATATAATTTTTTATTGTTTATATTAATTTTAGTTTAGTACATAATATTTTTTATGGCTCCTGAGCACAGAGGTATTAATCCCCCTCTCTCCAGGTATTTACTATGTATCTCCTTATGGAGTTTATTAATGTAAAATTTCTGTGGCAATAAATAAATAACAGCTTAATGTAACCAACGCTTCTTACGTTTTTTTCTAGTTATATGCTGACCAAAAGTTAAACTTTGATTAAACATACGTAAATCACACAATCCAATTTGAAATTAAGTTACCTCAAAGTCTTAGGCAACAGAAAAGAGCGACCGTATTTGCATAATGGGAACATGTTGGTGTAGAAACTGGATCGGGTAAGGATAAGGTCCTTGTCATGGAGCTGGCCGTGGAGCAAAACCTTGATATGGAACCTGGACTGGACCCATCATTTTAGTCGCGAACACATCAGGATATCCAAAATGATGTGGTTCAGGAATTGGAAGCTGGTTCATCTAACTGAAAAAGGAAGGTAGATATGTGACTCCATTTCTAATTTCAGAGGTTTCTTTGTAACCCTTGGCTCCAAGTTAGAGACGTTTGAAGTTAATTTTACCCCCGGAATAGATCAAACGTCCATGTTATCAAACCAATGAACCGGCATCGAAAAGCAAAAATTCCCCACTTGATAACCTTCCAAGCAAGGTTGAAAACTGCTTTAAAATAAACCAAGTCTCAGCATTTAAGAAAATCGTATAAAAATAAATTTTAAGTTAAAATGAATTTAAAATAATTATTAGAGATATAAATACTCGTGGTCTATTAATGCAATATTACGCAAACCTGTCGACTTTAACAAGCGCATAACGTCATATCTTGGACGACAAGTATATATATATATATATATATATATATATATCTAAACCTTATATACCCGTAGGTGTAAGGTGCAATTAGATTATTTCATTCTCTAAAACTATTAGTTATTATATGTATACAAATTTAGCCCACTGCTTCGTTCCAACTTATTCCCCTGTTTTTGAGTATTTTCGCCAATCCATCTTTCCACGTCTTTTTCGGTCGCCCTCTTGCCGTTTTCTGTTGAACACTTGCTTCCCATATGAGTTTTACTGGCCTTGTATCCTTCATCCTTACTAAATGCCCAAACCATTTTAATTGGTTGTCTTCAATCCTTTGTAGTACAGATTCCACTCCCAGCTCTTCTCTAATAACTTCGTTTCTAATTTTGTCTTTCCTAGCGACCCCTTTGACTGCCCTGAGGTATTTCATATCCCTGTAACTTGCTTTTTTGCCTGTTCGTTAATACCCAGCTCTCGCTCAAAAATGTCAATATGGGTCTGAATACTACTCTGTACAAGGTCATCTTTATTTTTCTGCTTATCATTTTCTTCCTTAAGAAAGATGTATTCATTGTGTGATAGAGCCTAGATGCGTGCATTAATCTTTCGTTGATTTCCTCTTCTTTTGTTCTATCGCCTTGTACTACCACTCCTAGATATTTGAAAGCTTCGACTTGTTCTATACGGGCGCCCTTAATAACTATATTTATTCCATTCCCCTCTGCTGTCGTCATCAGTTTTGTTTTAGATACGTTAATATTCAAACCTCTCTTCGATAATTCCTGGATCCAGATTTTAAGGTTATCTTGTAAGTCTTTTGGGGTATTAGGGCACAATAACAGGTCGTCCGCGATTGAGCACTCTGAAATATTTATTGGCCTCATTTTTTAGAAACCGACATGTACTTTTTTAATTTCGCTTTTGACGGCCTTTATTACATCATCCATAATCATAATGAATAATATCGGGCTCAGAACTCCTCCCTGTCTCAGCCCATCTCCTATGATAAATTCCTCTGACGTCAACCAGCCGGGATGAATGTGTAGCATACTTCGGTCAGCTACTTGGGTGGAGGGCGAGCTGGGTTTACATCCTTGCACCGACTACTGGTGTTAGTTTAATCTTAGGACAGACTCCTTGTGGATTCATCACCATCATTGCAGGCACTACTCGCTTTGCCATATCCTGTCGCTTGGCAGATGACTTTTTGCTGTGCCAGATCGCTGGCTCATTCACATGTCACTTGTGGCATATCCAATATTGGTGTTTGATTGGCTTCATGACGGTTGACTGTCATTTTTGGTACTACTTGTTGATTTGATGATAGAATGTTTATCAGTGTCGAAGGCTATGATTTTTTGATACAGCAGTGACTGGCGAAGATGTACTCGAATTATCTCGTTTCTACTCAGATATCCTAGGCTGGCCTAGTCTCTGAACATGCGCTGTAACTGGCTAACTGGTTAGTGCACTAGTCTGGATTTGAGTCTTTACCCCAGGTACCTGCACTACATTAACGATAAGTTCGACATTCTGAGGTTGGATCAGGTGAAAGACATGCGTTTACGGGAACGCTCAGCTACCCTTTTAGCAGGAAAGCTAAGTTTAGCAGCGCAAGACTTTTCTTTTCTTCATATTAATAGACCGTCGGGCTGAGTTATAGGCAACCTTGGTAGATTTCCTATGGTTACGCTTACCTGTTTTTTTTCGCAGCCGTATCACGAAGCTGATCCGTGGTATTTCGTTCGTAGACAATTTTAAGCTCCTTAGTTATATTGGCATTTCACGATATGCTTGCATTACCGGGAAGACCCCTTGCGAGTTTGCAAGTCTTGTGTGCAATAGCGGTGTGCATTCCTTATTTCTAAGAAAATCAATGAAGAGATCTAGGTCCACTGAGGCAGGGTCACGGTCTCCAGGTCTGGGGTTACTCATTTTCTTAGTTGGAATGTCGCTGACACATTTCATACAGGGTGCGGCAGAGAGGACGCACGTTTTTGGGATGGGTAGTACTCTCCGCCTCCGTCTCCGAGAGAGGTGGGGAGGGTGCCGTTTGACTCATGAGATCCTAGCATTATTTTACCAGTTGCCGTTATGGAGCCTTGGACGGTGAAGAACCGCGTTTTCGCCTATGATTGTTTCGTCCGAAATAATGATTTAGTCATCATCGTACAGCGTGAGTTTCGTCGCCACTTCAACATTCATCGGAATAGAGCTGTTCCCTCTCGAAACACCATCCTTCGTTGAGTTGAATTACTTCGCAAGCGTGGTGAACTGATCAACAGAAGACCAAGAGGAGCGCCGCGAACAGTTCGAACTCCTGAAAATGTTGAACGCGTTCGACAGGTCTTTCTTCGCAGTCCGACTCGATCTGCCCGGAAACATGCTGCTCCACTTCGCCTTAGTTATCGTTCGGTAAGGTGAATTTTGCATATCGATCTCCGCTTTCACCCCTACAAATTGTCCATTGTGCAACAGTTTCAGCCTGGAGATTATGCACAACGAATGAACTTCGCACGTATGATGTAAGCACTGATTGATCAAAATGAGAACCTCATTTTGTTTATGAGTGACAAAGCCCACTTTCATCTAAACAGCGTGGTTAACCAGCAGAATTGTCGTTATTGGGCTATCGTATCGCAAACTTGCATCATTGGCCCTTACTTCTTCGAAGACGGTAATGGTCGTGATGTTACCGTGATCTCAGAGCGCTGCGTCGACATGATCACCAACTTCTTTCTCCCTGAATTACGACGGCGACGTGTTCCAATCCGACGTGTGTGGTTCCAGCAGGATGGGGCGACCGCCCACACAGCCCGAGCATCCATGGACGTTATTCACCCTCTCTTCCCTGGTCGCCTTATTTCCAGGTTTGGCGATGTTCATTGGCCTCCTCGGTCCCCAGATTTATCCATATGCGATTTTTTCTTATGGGGACACCTCAAGGCTAGAGTATACGCGGACAAGCCCCGAA